GGGAAGAGCACAAGTGGCAGAGGGGCAGAGAGAGGGAGACAGAGGATCCAAAGCAGGCTGTATGCTAACAGGCTGGCAGAAGCGAGCCCGACGTGGGGCTCAAACTCACGAACCGTGAGATCATGACCTAAGCCAAAGTTGGACACTCAACCTACTAATAAGCCACCCTCGTGCCCCATCCTCTTATCCTTTTAAAAACTATTTAATTTACTGCCGTAATGTTTGGTGACAGCTGGTATATTTTTAATTTTCAAGAGCTCTTCATTTTCTACATGTTCTCATAGCATTCTCTTCTTTCAAGATGGGTACAAGATCTTAACCTTTCTGGTTTTGCTCTTTCCAAAGGATATTGTAAATTTTTTGTTCTTCTTTTGCATGGTTAGCTACTTCAGTTTGCTTTTTCCTGCTTTATTGTTTTTTTTTTCAACGTTTATTTATTTTTGGGACAGAGAGAGACAGAGCATGAACGGGGGAGGGGCAGAGAGAGAGGGAGACACAGAATCGGAAACAGGCTCCAGGCTCTGAGCCATCAGCCCAGAGCCCGACGCGGGGCTCGAACTCACGGACCGCGAGATCGTGACCTGGCTGAAGTCGGACGCTTAACCGACTGCGCCACCCAGGCGCCCCCCTGCTTTATTGTTTTGATCTCTTCCCTATGAAGGACTTTTTCCTTGGCTGTCTTCTCCTGATTAGGAATCTTGAGCACATGGTTGGGACTTGTCAACTTTGAGTTAATTTTACTCTAAGGTAATCTGGGTGGGCCATTTTTTGGAGAGGACTACTGTCAGGTCTTTAGGTCTTTTTCTTAGTCCAGTTGCATCCCAGAGAAAAGAGTCTTCCAGCCCTGACTGGAAGGTAAGAGAATGTCTTCTAGTGTTTAGGATCCAGTTGAGGATTAGGGAAGGAAGGAGGGGAAATTCTTAGCAGTTGTAGTTCACTGATCCCACTGAGTTCAGCATCACATCTGTACCTGCGCCTTCAATAGTTCTTAGCATTGCCTAGGCCAGAAATCCTGTCTTCACCATCTTCAGAAAATAAGCCTCCAGAAGAGTGGTCACCTGACAACCCATGGCAGGGGTGAGGACCTAGGGATCTAGATGCTTTTCGAATAATGTTCACCCGATGCTCCTTATGTTAAGCTGCCTCCTCTACTTTTCATTTTCACAGTCACCTGATACAGCCAATTTTTTTTGAAGAGTCTATGGAGAATTGGGTTTTTTTCTCAGCTCTATTCACTGCTGGCTTGGGTCTGTTTACTCTCATCCATCTGCTTTTTGGCTTACGCATTCTATTGTTCTCCTATTGTCCCTATTTTTGTTAGCATATTATTTCAGAAATTGTGTTAACATGCCACGTGTATGATATATGTGTGTTGTAATATATAATTATTAATATATATTAATATGTTCCATATTAACACATTAATACATATCCCAAACAAATATATATACATATGCACAGATATGATATTTTTATAAATGGGATCATTAACACTACAAAACCCCACCTTTTCGGGGGGGCTTGGCATAGTAGAACTGATAAACCTTTTCATATCAGCACATTCATACAACTGAATGAATTGCTATTTATTTAATTCTTGATGAAGAAAGGTATTTAGATTATTTTCATTATTTTTCCTATTGTACATAATTCAACAATGACCATCACAAGTGCCATATTTGTAACATTTCACATATTCTCTTCTTCATATTTTCTCTTTTCTGTGGTAAATTTTATTTTTGATTTGGCCATAGATCAAATTTAAGACATTCAGGTTATTTCCAGCTTAAAAATGATTGCTGCTATGAATGCATATGTATATGTACATGCATATATAAAGAAAAATTGAGGCCACCCATGAGTGTAGAACACAGATAGCTAGGAGTCTCTTCCCTGGCATGAGATGAGCTGGGAACAGAACAAGAGGGTGGGTGATTGTTGGAATTCTGTGGAGTGATTGAGTATCTCTAGAGAATAATATTTCACATTTAGGCACCAGAGATCCCCCTCAAGTAAACTAGATTCCTGCTGAATCACCTAATGGAAAGCTTATCCATTAATAAGCCCTACCAATACAGTCAGGTTTTAGTAGGTCATCCTTCAGTGTGAACAGTCAAGGAGAGCTCCCACATAAAATGTGGAAACTAAGACGGAAGGAGTGACCCTTGAGGAGAGAGATAATGAAGGTAAGAAGCATATTAGTTCTCTCCGGTTATTATTAATCTCAGAAAACCCGTAAGCATCTGTAAAACAAGAACAGGATACAGTGATAAAGTAACAGAGAACAAGAAACACCTAGAATTAGACATTGAAATTAAAATTCAGTCAAACACAGTTTGGAGTCGAGGAAAACTTTGAGAAAATGTAAGAAAGCAGTGATAGAAATGTAAGATGAGTGATACTGAATAGTAAATAGTGAAATCAGAGGGGAAGAAATGAACAGGTAACCGTGCACACCACTGTGGTTTGAGTATACTCACGTGTGTATATCTTTGTTTTTCATGCTGGGGAGAGTGACACCAGCATTACTGCTAGAATCCGCCTGAGGAATCAAGAAGCCATGGGACCAGCATGCCTGGTTATAAGTAACTAAAAAGCAGTTGGATTTTGAAAAAGCGAAACCCTAGTTTTCTTATGAACTGTCTCACGACTATGTTATTTATTTTTTGATTTGTACCTCATCACTCCGTGCTGTATTATATAGAGTGTGGCAGTTCTATCTGTCTTAGAGAATGGTGTATATGTGGTGGTGGGTTCTCCTCCCCAGTCTGCCATATACATACCAATCACTAAGATCATCCTAGAATAGTCCTCAGGTGGACAGAGGAATAAACAGGTAACTAAAAGAAGAAAAATCTCCAGAACTGACAGACACGAATCTTTAAATTGAACGAGCCTATCCGGTACCTGATAAATTCGTGAATAAAGAACCATGCCACGGTACGTTATTATGAAATTAAAAATACCAGGAATAAAAAACCACCACTATGGTTGAGGAGATAAATGAAAGTAGTGTTTTTAAACTATAAGGCAAGGGGCAGTACCTTCAAATTTTTGAAGGAAAATAATTTTCAACTTAGAATTCTGTACCTGGTTAAACTATCGTAAAACGATGAAATTTGAGAGTAAAGATGTATTTGGACACGTAAGGACAAAGAATATTTACCTCCTTGTGCCTTTTTAAGGAAAGTACTAGATGATGTGCTCCAAAACAATCTGGGAATAAACCAAGAAGGAGGAAGATGGGCAATTCACATACCTGTGGGTCTCAGTCAAGAGAAAGCAGTGAAGGTGGGGGGGCCTGGGTGGTTCAGTCAGTTAAGTGTCTGTCTCTTGATTTCGGCTCAGGTCATG